ACATCAATAATGAGAGAAAAGCAAATAAAGCCACAAGGAGACATCACATCTATCAGAACGACTATCATTAATAAATCAACAAACAAGTGTTGGTGACGATATGGATAAAAGGGAGCCTTCCTGTACTGCTGGTGAGACAGTATATTAGTGCAGCTATGTGGAAAATAGTACTCCATACTAATTTGTAGTAAATTACTACAGATAGAACTACCGTATGTCCTAGCAATTCTACTGTTGGTTATTTACTGAAGAAATTCAAACCAGTAATTTGAGAAGATACATGCACTCCTATGTTCACTGCAGCATTATTTATAATAGCCAATATATCAAAGTAACCTCAGTGTCCACTGACACATGAACATATAAAGAGAGATATAATATTCTATAACACATAAGGGTCTGGCACAAATAATACCCTTTTTGTTAATTACAAAATCTTAAGCAAATCATACTGTAATATAACAATATCACATTCAAGCACACAATCTGACATGTTCAAATTAAAACTATAAATTATTACGTCCATTATGACCTTCCCAACCATAAGCAGGCGTTACTTCTGCCCGACCCAGTATAACAGAATGTTATTCATCCACAAAAAAGAATGAAATCTTGCCATTTGTAACAAAGTGGATGGATCTAGAGGGTATTAGTCTAAGTGAAATTAGAGAAAGACACACACAAATAACATATTTGTGGACTCTAAAATCTAAATCCAGATAAAATTTAATATTATTAGTTATAAAAAGCCAATGAAAATGGGATGAAGCACTGCCTCTTAATTTAAATTATCAGCATATGCAGAAATAGGTGGACAAACATTCACTTAATCCCTTGGTAGTCCAAAATCATTGCTTTGACTCACAGAACTTCAAAAATGAAAAGCATGAACATTTCAAAGAAACAAACCAAGATCACACAGGAAACTCGATACTCCCAAGATCAAAGAGCTTGAAGTTGAAAGCAGAATCAAGGGCTATAAGATTTCTGGCTCCTGCACCTCTCCTTCTGGGTGCTAGATCATTTGGTTTTAATGAATGATATAAAAATTAATGTGAATCTGTGACTCTCCTAGCAAGAATATTGTTATGTGATGACTAATCAAAAGAACCATAAACAAAGAACAAAATGTCAGAGAAAGTAGAAAAACACTTATAATGAAGTATGTGTATATTTTATTGCACCTGAAATCTCAGCCAAAGCAATATGCTGTAAGAAATGGGAGATATAGTCTTAATATCAGTCAAGGGTAATTTTATGTAGATGATATAATCTCTCAGGCAGATAATCTAGACCCAGCAAACTATTAGATATAATAAAGGAGTTAGGCAAGGTTGCTGCATATAATAACATTAAACAAAATTACTAAGATACCAAGGTGGGAGGGGCAACAAAACTTACTTTCAGGAATTAATTACAAAACACAACAGACCTGAATTAATAGAGAAATATATTATAAAAAAGTTACAAGGTTGAATAAGGTAGACTAAAACTGTCAATTGCCCCAAAATAAGCAATAAATTAAATGCATCCTATTTATTTCAATATGGTTTTTGTTTGCTTGCTTGTTGGTATCAGACATCCTAAAATTCTTATGGAGAAACTTCCGGCTAAGGTGGAGACATAGGTAGCTACACTTTGCTTCCTTGCACAATCAAAAGGACAAATTTAAAACAAAATTTAAAACAAAAGGACAATTTAAAAACAAAAAGGAAGCAGAACTGCCAGAAAATTGAACTGTACAGAAGTCTGACAGCCAAGCAGTTAAAGAACAAACATTCATCCAGACTGGCAGGAGGGGTGGAGACAGGCAGCTGGGGCAGAGAGAATGTGCAGCAAGGCGATGGCTGCCACGTGGGTGGTCCCACATTTGCAAGCAGGTAGTTGGGGAAGAACAACTGGGAAGTGAGACAGTCCTTGCAACCCAGGGTTCCAGCACAGGGAAATAAAGCCTCAAAACCTCTGGCTGTAAAAATCTGTGGAGGTTGTGGCAGCAGGAAAAACTCCCAGTCTCATAGGAGAGTCCACTGGAGGGACCCACTGGGTCCTAGAATGTACACAAACCCACCCACCTGGTAATCAGCACCAGAAGGGCCCAATTTGCTTGTGGGTAGCAGGGGAAGTGACTGAAAGCAGGGCGAGAGCCAAGTAAGTGGCATTGTTCCCCCTGTGATCCCTTTCCAATATACAGCACCCCAGTGAAGTGGGCTGCCCCCTCTTCTGCGAATACCTAAGGCTCTGCCCCTACAATGTAACAGGTGCACCGAGACAAAGAAATATGGCCCAAATGAAAGAACAGATCAAAACTCCAGAAAATGAACTAAGCAACGAGGAGATAGCCCACCTAACAGAGGCAGAGTTCAAAACACTGGTAATCAGGATGCTCACAGAAATGATTGCGTATGGTCATAAAATAGAAGAAGAAATGAAGGTTATACAAAGTGAAATAAAGAATAATATACAGGGAACCAACAGTAAAGGGAAGGAAACTGGGACCCAAATCAACAATTTGGAACAGAAGGAAGACCTAAACATTCAACCAGAACAGAACGAAGAAACAAGAATCCAAAAAAACGAGGAGAGGCTTAGGAACCTCCAGGACAACTTTAAATGTTCCAACATCCAAGATATAAGGGTGTCAGAAGGAGAAGAGGAAGAGCAGTAAGTTGAAAACTTATTTGAAAAAATAATGAAGGAAAACTTCCCCAATCTGGCAAAGGAAATAGACTTTCAGGAAGACCAGGAAACTCAGAGTCCTAAAGAAGGTGGACCCAATGAGGAACACACCAAGACACATCATAATTAAATTACCCAAGATTAAAGATAGGGAGAGAATCAGAAAGAAGAAAGAGAAAAGGAGACAATTACCTGCAAAGGAGTTCCCATAAAACCATCCGCTGATTTCCCAAAAGAAACCTTACAAGCAAGAAGGGGCTAGAAAGAAGTACTCAAAGTTATGAAGGGCAAGGACCTACATCCAAGACGGCTCTATCCAGCAAAGTTATCACTTAGAATGGAAGGACAGATAAAGTGCTTCCCAGGTAAGGTCAAATTAAAGGAGTTCATCATCACAAAGTCCTTATTATAGGAAATGTTAAAGGGGCTTATCTAAGAAAAAAAAAGATCAAAACTATGAGCAGTAAAATGACAACAAACTCACAAAGACCAAAACTGAACCTAACGAACAAAAACAAACTAAGCAAACAACTAGAACAGGAGCAGAATAACAGAAATGGAACAGCATAACCAATTATGCTGGGTACAGAATAGACAAGGGGTTGTTGAGAATAGTACAGGAAATGAAGAAGCTGAAGAACTTATATGTACGATGCATGGACATGAACTAAGGAGGGGGGAGTGCTAGGCAGAGGGGGAGAGGAGAAAGGAAGGTGGGACTGCTGTAATAACATAATCAATAAAATATACTTAAAAAATACATATTCTAAAATAATTCACATGGAAAAGTAATGGTATAAGAATAACCAAGACAATCCTAAAATATAGTAATAAGGAGGGAAACCTTGCATAAAGAGGTAAAGATACCATAAAACAAAGATGTGGTTCAGTAGAAAGTGGGAGAATAGAGAACCTGAAACAGATCTGCTAGATCCAAGGTGACACACAATTTGTAGGAGAGACCACTCGACAAATGACTGCTAAGACAACTACCTTTTCATATACGGAAAAAAAGATGAAATTAGACCCCTGTCTTACAATATACATTAATTAAATCCAGATGTTTCAAAGTCCTGAATCTAACATAAAACCTTAGAGCTACTAGAAGACCTAGGAGAGTATGTTTATAGCCTCAAGCACAGAAAGGAGATAATAGGGACAAGGGCATTAAAGGCAGAGGAAACAAAATGACAACTGGCAAATAGCTTCATCTGTAAAACAGAAAATAATAATACCACCTACCACACAGCAATAAAGGGATTTAAACATGCCAAGTTCTTAGAAGAGTGTCTGTCATATAACATCTTAACAAATGTAAGTTCCTTTCATCCTAGTTCTTCTACCTACTAATTGTGCGAACATGGGTAGATGACTCACGCCTCATATTCCTTACCAATAAAATAGAGAAGACACCAGTAACTACCTTATTAGATTCCCGTAAGAAGTAAATGACTCCATACATATAATGTGCTTTAGAACAGAAACTGATACACAGTAAAAGCTCAATAAGAGTAAGAATAATGTATAAAGAATAATATATTGCACTTACAAAAAATAATTATAGAGTAGGGCAAAAGTAGGTTTACAGTTGTAAGTGTACAAGTGTTTATTCTTGTATTACTTACTATATTATTTTTTATACGATCAACTGTAAACCTATTTTTGCCCAACTTTGTATTACATAGGGAATGATGAGCATATCCAAGTAAGTGCATGTTTAGATTTCTATTTTAGATGGGAACTCTGGTAGTAATGTGGAGAACGAACTGTAGATGGGAAATGCTAAAGGCCTAGCAATTAAAAGGCTACTACAATTATTCAAACCTAAATAATGGCAATAATGACTGAAAGCAGTTTTGGAGGCAGATTTTATGGAATCTGAGAAGAGATTAGGCATGTAAAAAAAGTGAGCAAGTGTCATCAATAATTCCCAGGTTTCCCAAATGATTGAATGTTAATGTGATGATATAGTAAGTTGAGATGAGACTGAAAGTACTAAATGTTTTTGACTTTGTTACAAAAAAAAAATTATTTCTACTCTTCATTTTGAGATCTGGGAATTATCTTACATGTGGTTAATCAGCATCTAACCAAAACTTCATGCTGTTTGAAGTTATGTTTTTTGGAAAGAAATGTTGTATGGAAAGTATTTTGTTGCATCATCAACTAATTTTCTAAAGCAGCATATCATGAGTCAGAAATTTCTTTAAAACCATTATGGGTTTTATAAAATATTATCCATCTCTGGTTTTTAAATTCTCAAATGGACAAACAACAAAAAACTTTCTTGTCAGGGGCTGGCCTTACTTACAAATGTTTCTTACCATGATTGGCTTGCCCTGAAATGTTTTAACTTCTTCCCTCAAGTATTTAAAAGCCTGTTAAGAAAGGAGAAAGAAGCTTTTGTTAGCATTCATCTTTATCTAGAGTTTGGTATTAGCAACTATCTCTAAACTAAACAATAAAAAATTCTGAAGGTGATTCCAGTATGCAGATGATAGGAAATGAAAAAGTAAAAATGTAAGATCTTAGCTACAGTTCACATTTACTGCAGATTAGCTACATGGATTACTACCGGAAAAAAATGCACAAAATTCAAAATAGATCCAAAATGTTACCACATATCAGTTTATTATTTATATTTTAATTTTAGAGAGCAAGACACTGACTTACTGTTCCACTCATTTATGCATTCATTGGTTGCTTCCTGTATGTGCCCTGAGCAAGGACCAAACCCACAACGTTGGCATATTGGGACAATGCTCTAACCAACTTAGAACCCAGCCAGGGCTACATATAATTTTTGAAATGGTACCTTCAGACAGCCTTTCAAGGTAAAGAATTAAAACAAACCAACAAATAAACAAAAGAGTGGTTTAAAAATGCAATTAGATATGTTTCTGTTTCAAAGGATTACTACTTATCTTTAAGTAGGACAAAATAATTAAGAGTAAAATCATTGTATCAAAATTCCAAGAATCAAAAGGAAGTTACATATTTACTGAGGGCCTACTATGTACTAGAAATACTACTGGATTGGCCAAAAAATCTGTTTAGTTTTTTCTGTTAAAAAAAGTGACACATTTTTCATTTTCACCAATAACTTTATTGATTTGGATAGTTTGAGTATGTAAGCTAGCTCCCACATGGCAGAATGCTGACTGTTCTCAATTAATGTCTCAATTCGATTGCTATCAACTTCAACTGGTCCACCCGACTGTGGAGCATCATCCAGAGAGAATCTCCAGCATAAAACTCTGTAAACCACTTCTGAAATGTTCCATCAGTCACAGCCCCTTCTCCATACACTGCACAAATCTTTTTCTGTTTCAGTTGCATTTTTACCTTTCTTGAAATAATAAAGAATATGCCAAAAATGTTGCATATTTTCTTCCATCTTCAATATTAAAATGGCTACACAAAAATTCACCAACTTGGATAAGGTGTTTTAAGTGTATGCTGATATGACAGTTGTCACAATACAATCTAATAAAATTGTTTCAAATGAAGTTAGACTACAAAGCACTACTCCAGTCATCTTATGGAAACAACCAAACGAACTTTTTGGCCAATCCAATATGATTCCCAATCTCCATGTTAATTTTAAAACTGTGCGTTAATTTCTTCATCGATAAAAATAAACTGTTCTTAAGTTGAAACTGAACAAGCTTTACGAAAATGACCAAAAAGAAAACCAATTAATAAGTAAAACCAAAAAGGTGAACAAGCTGATCAAAAGTCTTTATAGACAGTACTGTAAGCACACATTTTCTCAATTAAAATATGATGTCTGTCCAGAAAAGGTCCAGCCATTGTTAACATAATAAGAATGGTTTGCTTGCCATCAATGTAACCTGGCAGCTAAGGAGGGTGGACTGGAATGGGCATGTGTAAGTAATGACAACTTCACTGTACCAGTCAGTGGGGGTGGTAGACATTGTTGAGTAAGCATGTGTACTGTGTGGCCATCATATTCAGAAACGACTGTGTGATTAGAGCAATGAATCTGCGTCATATTTTGTGTTAAGCTTGAACATTCCTCCTAGGAAACTATTCAGATGATTCAGAAGGCCGTAGCTATGGGCAACTGGTGACTGGCATCTTCCTCACAACAATGCGTCCACTCATGCATCATGTTTCATGAAGTTTTCTGGCAAAACATCAAATCACCCAGGTGACTCAGCCTCCCTATAGCCCAAATTTGGTGCTGAGAATTCTGGCTTTTCCCAAAGCTAAAATTACCTTTCAGGAAGAAATTTCAGCCCATTGATTATATTCAGGAAAATGCAACAGGGCAGTTGATGGCGATTCCAGCAAAGGATTTTTCAGTGTTTTAAATAGTGGAAGAGATGATGGGAGAACTCCATGAAGCCTCAAGGTGCCTACTTTGAAGGGGACTGAGGCATCATTGTCCTGTGTACAATGTTTCTTACATCTTTGTCAATAGATTCCTCTATTTTTCATAGTACATGGCTGGATACTTTCTGGACAGACCACTACTTATTTTACCGCCAGGACTGAAATCAGTAAGGTTTTCTCACCTGTTGTGCATCTGTGTCTGACTGGAAAGTGATATACCAGTTGCTATTGTGTGCAAACTCACAGCTTATTACCTTGGGGCAGTTTTCATTTTTGAACAAAGCTTTCACTTCCTAAAAGAGAAAAACTTTAGTTAATTCTAAAAAACATATCAATAACACCGTATTTTGGTATGTATAATGAGCACTTTTTGCCCAAAGTTTTAAAGGGAAAAATAAGTGTGCATACTGTATGTGGGTAGTACTAATTCTATATCTATATAAATGTTTTTAATTCTTTTATTTATGCTTGTGTTAAAACTGTAACTCTACTATGTTCAAAAATGAATGCTAAAATTCCTTTTTAATATAAAAACTAGCATAAATAAATAAATAAATAAATAGAATTAAAAAATTAAAATGAAAAGTTTTCCCCCCTTGAAAGTCTGGGCCAAAAACGTGGGTAATGCATTATATACAGGAGCATATTATACACAGCAAAATACAGTACATATTTTTCTCTTGATGTCTCTTGAAACTTTCTATTTCTTGTTAACTATTCATGGCTTCTGTCATTTTTCTACTGAGAGCAGATTATATTCTCAAACAAAAACATATATAGCTATAGCATAAATTTTGTATATGATTTAGGGAGAGAACCCTATTTTATAATAAAAACTGAAGTATTTCATTCCTAGTAGCAAGCTAAATTTTCCTTTCAGTAAAATCTCTCCAGCCCTGCCATTATCCAAAAAACAAAAGTATGTTCTCCCTCCCTTAACATTTTTTAGGTGGGTAAGTAGTTTCATGTGTTTTCATTTGATCCATACGCTTTGTCTATGTCAGTCATTCACAGGTGTGTACTCTGTGCAAAGGTTATCTTCCGTTTTCCATAACTGATATAACTAAGAACTAAAAACTCCAACAAACACATGGGTTTAGAAAAAAATGACTGTCAAAATTCAGAAATGTGTAACAGCTACCAGCTTGAAAAAAGTTCATTAAAAAGAATACAAGTGGAGGTGAACATTAAGTATTCCTAAAAAGTTACAAAGGAAACGATATCTGTTGAAAACACCATACAAAGTAAGACATTGTGATTTACTCCTGAAAACCCATGTGTGGGAGATTTTATCATCTCCATCTTACAGCTGAGGAAATAGTGGCTCAAATTGTTTGATTTGCTCATACTACCACAAAGTGACTCAAACCCAGATTTGTATACCTCCAACTCCTTTTTGTCTAATACTCATTTGAAATGAAGGAGAAGTTTAGTAGTAACCAATAATTCCAAAATATCAAGAGAGTCTGATTTGGTTAGGCTGTCCCGCAAAATATCACTAGAGACCAACTGACAACACTAATGTCTAACCTGTATTCTAACTTCCTCAAATGTTTAATGCACTGAATTAAAAAATGAGATGGTCTCTACTTGTGATGAGGACATTTTCTTGAATCAAACACTATTTAAGTAAGTTGTCAACCAGCTGAGTTTTGTGACATTTGTGAAAATGGTGAAATACCAAGTTCAGTTAATAAAATTCCTATCTAGTCCAAAATTTCATTTTTCAAGAACTACCTATGCAACTGTTAGAGTGCCTGTCACCCATTGGTATCTGCCTTCAAAAAGCCATAAATATTCTCCAAATATTTAATTCCTTTAAAATGTATAATAAATTGGTTTGTTTACGGAAATTTTAATGAAATCCCTATTTTTCAGACTTCATCATTCTTTAGGAAGAGTTCTGTTCATATATTTATTTTCCCAAATATAAGAGAAGTCTTGATCTAAAGTAATCAAAAATTTATTTCACTTGAGAGGAACCCTGATGGTTAGAACCCAAATCTCCTCATTTTAATCTGATTTTCAGTTATTGGGGCCTAGGTCAGCTTTCTCTATTTTAGTCATCTGCACTTGCTTTACTTTTTTTTTTTTAAATGAACAGTATGTGGCTGCTTTGTTCCTTTTATTTACTGTTTTTCGTGTGTGAGTTCTTTGTCTATTCAGAGTATGGATTACAATAATGATAGAAATGATAATGGCTAACTTTAGAGTGTTTTTAAATGCATGCTACTGCTCTAAGCTTTTATATACTAACTCATTTAATTCTTACAACAATTTTATGAATTATTACTATTATCCCAATTTAACAGATGAGAAAACTAAGGCAAAAGATGTTAAGTAACTTATCCAAGGTCATAGAACTAGCAAGTAAAAAGGCTAGAATGCAAATTGAGGCAGTTTAGTTCTAGAGTTCAGGCTCTTGTATATTCTACATTGCTTCTTAATACTACAAATAGTCTTCTCATTCTGCCTTCCTTTCAACTTGTTACTTTTGACATATACTTCATAATTTTAAACCAAACATCTAGCAACAGTTTCTTCTCTAATTTCTCTCACTGCATTCTGGAGATAAAACACTAAGTAACTCTGGACAAAAAGATTAGCTACTGGTATGTCAGATTTGTTAGGTGGCAAGAACCTTTCTTCTTAAAATGGTTAATCAATTACCATATATCAGTTGATTAATTCTCCCAATCTCTAATTTATTGTGCCTTTACATGACTACTTAGTGTCAGGCTCTGTGGCTAAGAAGAAACATGGGCTTCAAAATCAGAGTGATCAATTTCAAATCCAGACTCTGTTATGTGTCTTAGACAAGTAAGTTATTTAACCATCCTAAGGTTCAGTTAACTTGTCTGTAAAACAGATAATACAACTTTAGGCTTTAAATAACTAAAGTATATTGCCTAATACTTGGTAGAACCTAGTTACTAAATAAATGTTATTATACATGCACTATTGCATAAAAGAGCCTATTTCTGGATTACACTGGTGGGGCAAAAGGTTTACAGTTGTTCATATGGAAAATACAGTAATTAATAAATAATACATGAATAAATTGTTTCATGTACTCACAATCGTAAGCCTACTTTTGCTCCATCTTGTATTGTTTCATTAAAATATTATTTTATTTCTGTACCTGTAGCATAGCATCTTTATAACTGCAGTTTTGCTTTATATTTTGCTAACCAGGAGGAGTTTGTCCTGATCGAGTAGTCCTTATTCATATTTTTCTTCTTCATTTATATTTCAGATGAATCCTCAAGTTCCCAAAAGGGCCTATTAATATTTTAACTGCCATTCAGTCAAATCAATAAATTCAAAGTTAGTTTCACTGCAATACTCAGTCTCCCCTTTTAAGAACACAGAATTGTATTCTGTATCATTCCTCAAAATTTCAAAATTTACACAAGTTGGTATTTAGTCTTTCACGATAATTGATATGAGGACATTGATGTACTTTCCTTGTTTATTTATTAGCTCCTTCAATTTAAGAAGAATACTCAGCTTTAACAATACTTAGTAATTTACCTCTATTGGTGTTGTTTCAGGAATCTCCCTAAGAATCACTATACAACGCTTATGACTTGGTCTCACTTTCTCACCCTTCTCATCAACTTGTACCATAGGAGAAGCTGAAATTAAAAAAACAAACAAACAAACAAACGAACAAAAAATGGTTTCACTCTACAGCAACAAGTAGAAATAATAATGCCATTCAAAAAACTACTCATTTCTATTTCCAACTGAATAAATTAACAAAAGTTAGTATCCCAAAGAAATGAAGTCATGGAGTCAAAGACGAGAGTTACAAGAGTTTTTTTAGATTAATATGCCAAGAACATTGTCAAATGTTATCCTTTGAACAAATCTTCAGAGTATCTACTTTGTGATTTGCCACTGTGTTGAGATTGAAAAAAAAAAAAAGCCTCAGGAAGCATACAACGTATATCTGATAAGACACTTTCTCTGCATACAATTACCAGATTATTTATTTCAAAAGGTAACAAAAATCAATGTACTTGCATTAGCCAAACTCTACTCTGGGGAATGTAGTAACCTCTAATATGTGAAGAAACTCTTCTTAAAATTACAGTCTAGGAAGTGCTTAGATCAAGAATTACCACAAATGATTATATAATCTTTCCTTGATTTTAACGTAATTATTTACATACTACTACAGAGACTCAGAGACTCAGAAGCCTTCTTTTAGATGCTGATTTTGAGGAAATACTGAATGAATACAGTTCCACATAGCCAAAACTTTTATTTTTGGCCCGTGCAGAAAGATAGTATGCCACATCTCCCTTAATAGGTAGGGAGAGAATAAAAGAAGTTAATAAAAATGGCCTGCATATTAGTGCGAGGGTCTAGCCCTTACAGATAGGGAATTCTACTTGTCTTGTGGCCAATATCTTTATGTTGATAAGACTGAGTCATTTTAAGAAATGATGTCTGCACAAACCAACCAGAGATTATTTCATAAACATTTTTAGCCTTCTGAGAATGAAAATCTTCTAACCCCTACTGCAGTAAGCCTATTATTGGCTTTGCTATATTTAATTTTTAAACATTTCCAACAACATATTTCATATAAATATGAAGATCTGCCTTTACAGTCAAGTAGTTAACAAAAACTACCTAAAAGAGGTTACCAAGAAATACTAGTATAGATATAATCACTAAAAATTCTTAGGACCTCAACCTGAAAATATAAACTCCTTATCAAATTTTAGAGCAGTCAAAAAGTCACTTTGACTTTGTTTGTCAAAGTGTATAACAGGTTACAACTCTTTAATAGGTTATGAAATTTTAGAGCAGTCAAAAAGTCACTTTGACTTTGTCAAAGTGTATAACAGGTTACAACTCTTTAATAGGTTATGAAATCAATTTAGAATAAAAGAGATGAGTTTGTTACAAGCATTTATTATTAACCTGTATAGCACTTTAGTTGTGTGTGGGTATGTGGTATATGTATTGGACTGTGACGTAAAATGTACTTCTATTTGGGTTCAAAATTTTAAAATAGATTGCTTCAGAAAGTGTGAAAATGACACATAAAGTTTTCTAATAGCCCAGAATACTGAGATTTAATTGCTTATATGTATAATTGGGTACCAAGATGAAAAATGAAGGTACAGTATTGATACAGAAATTAAATACCACTCAGTAAAGATAAATTATTGGAATAGAAAAGCAAAACACAGGGAGTTAAAACAATTTCTGTCAGAAATTTAAAAACCACTTAAATTTTTGACTTAAAAAATAAGCTAAAAGGTATAATTTACATACATCTCAACACTTCAAGAATGAGATCAGGATCTGTGGTAAGCTTTTTTATTTCTTCCATGTTGGCCACTGTCCAAATTGGGATGAACTGATCACTGTCCATTTGAGATATCAGGTAAAGATCCTTTGACAAATTTTCTCTGAAAAAAAAAATTAATATAGATATATAGATAGATAAGATAGATTTAACAGTCCTATAAAACAAACAATTCCTTAAAAACATCTAAAGAGTTGCCTTATTCTCTTTTGTCACTAAGTCCAGGAAAACAAAATTATGTTATGAGAAATAACACAATTATGAAAACATATAAATAATATACAACAGACATGCTCTAACAACTTCCAAAAAGATTCTGAATCCCCAAATAAATTTGGCCCAGTAGTTTGTTTCTGTATTGTTTTTTACTTTTTATTGAATTTATTGGGGTGACATTGGTTAATAAAATCATATAGGTTTCAGGGTGTACAATTTTATAATACATCACCTGTACACTGTATTATGAGCTCACCACCCCAGGTCAAGTTTCTTGCCATCAGCATTTATCCCCCCTAATACCCTCTTCTGCCACCTCCCATCCCCCTTTCCTTCTGGTAATCACCATGTTCTTGTCTGTGTCTATGGGGTTTTCTTTGGTCCATCTTATAAACACTTTATCAGTGATGTTAGAATATGCTATTTAAATCATAAGTTGTATTGTGGGATTTTAAGTTTCTGAGTGTTTGCATTTTTAAATACATGTTTGCTTTTACTTCGTATTTAAATAATAAATTTAAAAGATTTAAAAATTTAGACAGAAGATTTTTTAGGATACATTTTAAAAAAGATACAAATACTTCCATCTTGCACATAAAATCTTGCTTAACAAACTAAAGTAAAATCAAATTCATGTCTTATTCATACCAAATCTTTGAAACTGTCTGGTTATAAACAACTAGAAAAGTCTGTGCTTAAAAGCCATCTTCTTAATAACCACTCTATTTAAAACTGAAACCACCCAAGTATTCCTGATGTCCCTTCCCTTGCTTACACTGCTCTATTTTTTTCATAGTGGTTACTACCTAACACTTCTAAACCACTTATTTATTAAATTTACTGTTTTGCCCTCCTGGCCAGAATATAGGTTCCATGAAGAATCTTTATTAAAAATGTTAAAAAACAAAAACCCAAAAACATAGTACCATATACCAAAAGGCTGAGGGTCCAATTCTTGGTCAGGGAACATATCTAGGTTGTGGGTTCCATCTCCAGTGGGGTGTGTAAGGGAGTCAACCAATAAATATTTCTGTCTCAAATCAATATGTGTGTGTGTGTGTGTGTGTGTGTGTGTGTGTGTCCCTGCCCCCAAGAGCAATAAACATATCCTCCATGGAGGATTTAAAAAATTAAAAAATGTGTTTTAAAGCCCTAGTGCTTGTCCAAGAGTACGGTCAAAGACCTTTACATTCAAATTATATTAAAACAGAAGTAGTAATTACTTTTTTAAGGTTACAGCTGTCAACAGATGACGGTTACTTATTTTGGAAGGAAAATGAAAATAGAGGGGAAATCAGTAAACTCAATTCAGCATCAAAGGGGGAATATACTATTATCACCCTAATAAAAAAAATTTTTGTTTTAAATTTATTGATTTTAGAGGGAGAGGAGGGGGGCGAGGGTAGAGAGAGACAGACAGAGACATACACAGAGAGACATCTATTTGTTGTTCCACTTATTTATGCATCCACTGGTTGATTCTTGTATGTGCCCTGACCAGAGATCGAACCTGCATCGTTGGTATATTGGGACAATGTTCTAATGAAATGACCTAGCCAGTGTTAAAATTCTTTAAGAACTTGAAAATAACAATAAACATAATATTTGTGTAACTAAAAAGTTGTAGCCTGAATTAACTCTTTCAGCAGGTTTTATTTTACAAAACACTATGTCAAACCCTTAAAGATACTGTACCTCACAGAAGTAATTCAACTTAATGGATATGATATGTAGGATTTGAATATTCATGGACTAATATCTGACATGTACAATACCAGTGGCAATTTTGATGAATTGTCAATCATCCCCTGGTTTAAACTGTTAATCGCTCCCTGATTTAAACTGTAACACAGTGCTGAGCTGAACAGTGGGGTATGACAAGCAAGAGTTTGAAACAATTTTAAAAAACTACATTTTTGAAGATAAAAGAAGAGCTATGGAAACAACAAGGACAAAATGAAATTCCAGAAAGATGACCTTTCTTTCCTGAGAGCATATGTAAATGCTGGACCAGAGGAAAACCAGTAGAGTATTCAGCAACTGCACAGGACTGGCATTATGAACTAGAAGCTGAAGGAGACCCCTACCCAGCACACAACTGTAATTACTGAGTTCTAAGGAGGAAGGTGAGTGACTGGGAGCCAAGTTGAAAAGAGTAAAATCTCTGGTTTTGTGGAAGTTCCAGTGTAGGATGGGCCCTTGCTTCAAGCACAAGACAGGGCTCTTCTACAAGACATTTGCCAGATTTTGAAACCGTATGGGGTAAGAGGCTAAAGAGCTAATCTCAGACCTCTGAAGAACAGAACTAAATCTCCCTTGGTGCTTCTGAACAGAGGTAATAGAAAACTGTCAACCTCTAAATCTAAAGCCTGAGAAGACGATGCCTAAGGAACAAATATAGAGGTGGACTGAGTCTAATTAAAATGGATGCTCAGACCTGATGCCACTTAATTTCTGACTGGATTGAAGCAATCAATATGCTTCATCCTGCCAGAAGAAAGCTCAAATCTTTTCTAGAGGGAAAAATTGTATCGCTTGCAGTTTCTACCTTCTTTTATAAGTAATGCCCAGCATATAACCAAAATTTAGAAGACATGCAAAAAGACAGGGAAATTATGATAGAGAAGGAAGAGGAAAAAAAACAGTGGTTGTAGGCTGGTGGTCATAACCAATCTTTGCAGCTGGCTGCCCTGAGGATAAATCCCTCACATTAATGTGCCAACAGAAAACAAAACTCAACTGCACAAGGAGGGTGTGCACAGCCCACGTGGCGGAGGGGCACACCTCAAGTGTACAGTTTGGGTGAATGGGAAGGGTATTCCACTGGACCCTACAGAACTAGTGCATTAGGCCACTCTACCAAGCCTGGGAGACTAGTAGGTTTACATGATATATAAAAACAAATACAAGGAGGCTGTCAAAATAAGGAGACAAAGAAACATGCCCCAAATGAAAGAACAGAACAAAACTCCAGAAGAACTAAACAAAATGGAGACAAGCAATCTACTTAGATGCAGAGTTCAAAACACTGGTTATAAGAATGCTCAATGAACTTAGGATAAGAGTCGATGAACTTATTGAGAATTTCAACAAAGAGATAGGAAACAGAAAAAAGGAACTAAAAATCATAAAAAAGAACCAGTTAGAAATGAAGACTTACATTAACTGAAATGAAGAGTACATTAAAGAGAATCAACAGTGGAGTAGATGAAGCAGAGGATTAAATCAGAGATGGAAAATATGGAAGCAGAAAAAACCCAAACAGAACAGCAAAAAGAAAAAAGAATCCAAAAAATGAAGATAGTATAAGGAGTCTCCAGGAAAACTTCAAGCATTCCAATACTCGTTGGAGGTGTCAAAAAGAAAAGAGAAGGGGAGCAAGGAATTGAAAGCCTATGTTTAAAAAAAAAAAAAAAAAAAAAAAGACATAAAACTTCCCTAACCTGATGAAGGAAATAGACATACAGGTCTAGGAAGTGCAGAATCCCAAAGATGAAGAACCCAAAGAGGCCCACACCAAGACATAGCACAGTTAAAATGCCAAAGGTAAAGACAAAGAAAGAATCTTAAAAGCAGCAGGAGAAAAGCAGTTAGTTACCTTCAACGGAACTCCCATAAGACTGTCAGATGATTTCTCAACAAAAACTTTGCAGGCAAGAAGGTAATGGCAAGAAACATTCAAAGTGATAAAAAAACAAGGACCCTCAACCAAGATTAGTCTACCCAGCAAAGCTATCATTTAAAATTGAAGGACATATAAAGAGCTTCCCAGTCAAGATAAAACTAAAGGAGTTTATCACCACCAAACCAGTATTACATGAAATATTTTTAAAAAGGTCTTCTTTAACGCTGCAGAAGTTGCGGCTGATCTGAGAGATACAAACAAAACCTTTTCTTAAGAAATTTTTCTTGACTGCACCCTCTACAGGGTTAGGAGGAAGAAGAAATAAAAAATATGAACAATAAAATGGCAATAAATATGTATGTAGCAACAACTGAATTGAAAAAACAAAATAAACAAACAAGTAGAATAGAAACAGACTCATGGATACAGAAAATATTTTGACAGTTTCCAGACAAGAGGGGAATTGGAGGGATGGGTAAGATAGGCAAAGGAATTAAGGAGTACAAATTGGTTGTTACAGAACAGTCATGTGGATGTAAAGTACAGTATAGGGAATATAGTCAATAACATTCTATTAACTATGTATGGTGTCAGATGGGTGTGAGATTTATCAGGATGATCATTTAGTAAGTTATGTAATGTCTAATTACTTGATACTAGTAATTAGTACTAGTAAAAGTGCTAATACAATAATGTATGTCAACCGTAAGTAAAAAATGATTAAAATAAATACATAAAATTATTACAAGTATGTTACAGAAAGTGAATTGTATCATAGGCACAACTGATTAGAGGCAAAAAAGACTGGAGGTTCTTGCTTTTATCCTAGGACCTGTACTAGGCTATGAAGACAAAGAATAAAAAGAAGGGAATGAAAAGGGAGAGTTTAGGATGAGGAATTAATTAAACATGAGTTAAGAGTGAATTGTATCTAAAGAAAAAAAAAAAAAAAAGCCTCTTCCCAATAGTGGCCTGACGTGACTTCTGAAAGTGGTTCACTATTCATTTGACCCAGAAAACCCCCCAAAATCATGCAAATCAAGAGGTTCAAATCCTCTTGTTTACTTTAAGAATATTTGTGAAACTGTCCAGGCTCTCGAGGGTATGCACATCCAAAAAGCTACCAAGTATCTGAAGGATGTCACTTTACAGAAGCAATGTGTGCCATTCTGACGTTACAATGGTGGAGTTGACAGGCGTGCCCAGTCCCAACAGGGTTAACTGCCAAAAAAGGTCGCTGAATTTTTGCTGCACATGCTTAAAAATGCAGAGACTAGCCCTAGCTAGGTGGCTTGGTTGGTTGGAGCATTATCCTGTACACCAAAATGTTGTGGGTTCAATCCCCAGTTGGGGTACATATGGGAGGTAACCAATCAGTGTTTCTATTTCTTTCTCTCTCTCCCTCCCCTTTCCCCACCCCCTCTCTAAAATCAATAAACATATCCTCAGGTAAGAATTAAGAAAAAATGCAGAGACTAATGCTGAACTTAATGAGTATATTGTCCTTTGGTCACTGAGCAAATCCAAGTGAACAAAGATCCCAAAATGGGGAGTGGAATTTATAGAGCTCATGGGCAGATTAACCCTTATGAACTCTGCCTGCTACACAGAGATGATCATTATTGAAAAAGAACAGATTGTTCCTAAACCGGGAGAGGAGGTTGCCAAAACAAACAAACAAACAAACAAACAAACAAAAAAAGGCACTGACAAGACCCAGGTTTCTAGCTTGAAAAATCAGTTCATTGCTCCTACTTCTCACCAGATAAAGGGAAATAAAAGGCATTATTACATTTGCATGCATATCCAAATTTATAATTTATTTTGGAAGGAGCAGTTCTATGTATTGAAATGTTATGCTATCTAACCTGTAAATATACCTACATAATTCTTACCTGTAGATAAGACATCTTGAAATGTTTGCCTGAAATAACTCCTTATTTAATAGAAGACACTGATAATATATATTCTATGCCCATCCACCTACCTAGCTGAAAATAACCCTATGATCAAAAAGCCAACACTAAAAATGTAAGTGAAGAAACCACCATTTTTTTTGAGAACTGTAAACCTGAATATGTTCATAAGAAAAGTATCCAAGAGAAATTTCATTATCTTTCTACTGAGAATAAAATATCCTTTGCATATCCAACTGAAGACTGATTTGTTAAATCTTGTTAAGAAATATAGAAGAATGGTACCAAAATACATCACTGAAGGAAATTAAAAGTACCATTCTTCCATTCTATCCCATAGGTATTTTATATCTACTAACCAAACAATTTAAAAAAAGGAGAAATAGCCATAAAAAAATGTAGTGTACCGTGAGAAACAGAATTCTAATTGTTTCTTCAGACATTCTTTTAGATCTTCTGTAGAAATTGCTGAATTACTTTCTCCTGATGGTAGAAAATAAGAGGGAAAAAGTTAATACCAAATTACCACAGGTGGTAAACTTTACGTATTGTTATACTCAGAATAAGTCACAAAATACACATTAAACTCATCAAATTGAACTGTTTTTTATTATTTTTTTAGAATACAGATATCTCAAAGTCCAACTAATTTCTTTCAGCCTGTTTGTCACTTAGACAGATTTCACATCTGTTTAAAAACTTTTATCAAGCAATTAACAAAGCACTATTAATACTAAACTCACTTGGCTAACATATTGCAAAATACTACCCTAAATACTTGAAATTAAAGAACAAGCCCTGGCTGCTGTGGCTCAGTGGACTGAGAACCAAAAGGTGATGGGTTCAATTCCCAATCAGGGCACATTTCTGGGTTGCCAGCCAGGTCCCTGGTTGGGTGCATGTGAGAGAAACGTCTCTTTCGTACATCAATGTTTCTTGCTCTCTCTTTCTCAAAATAAGTAAAATTTTAAAAATGGAAGGAAGGAAGGAAGGAAGGAAGGAAGGAAGGAAGGAAGGAAGGAAGGAAGGAAGGAAGGAAGGGCTGGATGGATGGACAAGAGTATATTAATCTAAATTTCAAGACAGTAACTAGCTAAACAAAGTGGGATATATAATATATATACACACAACTGTAATATATGCAGTAAATATGATATTAGTCACACACCTTAAATTTCTATCTCTTAATACTCTTTTATTTCCTTATTTTAAGAATACTACTGTCTTCCTAGGAATATTTAAAGAACTAATATATTCAAAAGACCAGATCAACTCTGTAACAGTTTTCTATGCTTTCTATCATTTAAACTCAGAACATGAGACTTCTTTTTTAAGGACTTAAGCCTGGAAAACCATCATTCCTTTACATAAAACATTACATACTCAAAGCGTTTTATTTGTCCTCTTCTTAAAAAGCATTAATGATTAATTTCCTTTAAATAGACAATAGGATGTATATAAAGATAAATTCTGTGCATAATTTTACCATTACTTTGTCTTACTATTCAAGATTCAAAGTGATATTACATATTAACTTCATTAAAATGAATATAAGCATTCTATTTTTATGTATATACAATCTTTCTAATATACAAAATTAATCTGCCCACCTGCTACCTAACGAGTATAACTTCATTTACCCTTTCAATATCATTATAGCAAATTTATTAAAATATCAACTGGTTGCCACATCACTTAAATCAACTCTATGTTCAAAGTAGCCAGTAGTTAAGTATATTATGACCAAAAGTAGAAAGTAGAACTTACCACCTTAAATTATATGGAAATACCATCTCATTCCACTTCAGCAATTAACCTACACGCTAACAGACCTTAGAAATCCAGTCCAAGTATATATAATAAGGAAACTGGAGACAAAGGAAGTCTATATAACTAGACAAAAGACAGAGATAGAAATGCCTCCCTTCCTCCATTATACTTATTTTCCAGTAAGACCCTTCATAAATTAGAAAAATAAAGTTAGCTCATGAGGGTATATGGTCCATTTTTAGGGTCCTTTAAATTTCTTCCATCTGGCCCTAGCTGGTGTGGCTCAGTGGAATAAGTGCCGGCCTGCAAACCAAAGAGTTATTGGTTCAATTCCCAGTCAGGGTACATGCCTTGGCTGCAGGTCAGGTCCCCAGTAGGGGCCGCATGAGAAGCAACCATGCATTGTTTCTCTCCTTCTCTCCCTTTCTTCTCCTCTCTAAAAATAAATAAAATCTTAAAAAAAAAAAGTAATATATTTCCTACATCTCAAATCAACTACTAATCTGTGACAATTAAATGAATGTGAAAAGAACTGTTTAAGTTAATTGTAATAAACCATGTTTTCAATACAGCCTTTTCCTTAAAATTAATCCCTGCAATTTCACATTTATAAATGCACTTTGCACTGAAAAAAGTGATGGGAAAGTTGGCAGAACTTGCACTAATCACAACTATTAGACTAGACTAAGACTTAGACCCTATGAAAGATTGTAATTTAGGTCTCGATCAACTATTTTAACTACTTTTTTTTCCTTTCAGCTTTAATTCAACACTTTAATAGAAAATTTAAAGTAAATCTTTTTATATTACAATTTTCATATTTGGCCATTTTAAAACAGTATTTATTACAATCACCTAATAACATTCATTCATTTACTTAAATTTCTTTTCTAGTAAGAAAGTAAATTAATCAATGCTATAGGTTAATTAGAACAATGATAAAGAGATGTTTGCGGCAGCAGTTAGGGGGATGGACAGCATACTGCATTCTCATTTGACCACCAAAATCTAAAGCTTACCAGAATCCTCATATATTTGATAACTCAGATCTTCTGGCCCTAAAATCATTCCATCAGTTGACTCTTCAATGCCTGTAGAATTTCTTGTGGTTTCACAAGATGAATACATTACTTCATATTCCTTACACATATCATCTGAAAGCTCTGTATTACCTATATGAAAAAAAAACCATGGAAAATAAATAGAAATTCTTCAAATCCTATCTTTAGGAACTCTAGGCCCTATGTCTTCTATAACAATATTTGAAGGAATTCTACCAGTTGGGAAAATGTCCACATAGTTTTAGTTTTAAGTAAGAGTTCTCTTCCCAAGGGAGTTAAGTTCTGACAATTATGGATAAGCAAAAATGATTAAAAATAGCTTAAACTTATATAGCACTATGTATCAGACTACCTAATGTACTTCATTTAATTCTGTCAAGCATAATTGTTATTATTAATATTTTATTATTATTGTTTAACATATAGATCGAGGACAGAAACATGAAAAAATTAAGTCATTTGCCCAAGGTCAAATAAGTGGGTAAGTAGTAGCATTGCCAATGATGGTAGATGAAAACTAATTTATAAATATCATGCCCTGGACAGTGTGGCCCAGAGGTTGGAATGTTATCCCGTAACTGAAGGGCTGAGGGTTTGATTCCTGGTTGGGGCATATGCCTAGGTTGCAGGATCATCCCCTGTCTGGACATGGGCATGTGCAACCCCTGTTTTGGACACATATGATCCCTGGTCTGGGTGCGAATGAAGGCAACCAATGCTTCTCTTGCATCAATGTTTTTCTCTCCCTTCCTCTCTCTTTCTAAAAAGCAAATGAAAATGTCCTTGGGTAAGGATAAAAACAAACAAACAAACAACTAATTTATAAATATCATTTTATAAATGGGTTAATAGGCTACACCAAAGATACAGCTATTATTTCAAATTAGTGACCATTCACACTAGATAAGAATAGTATACAAACTACATGTTAAACATTTATGAACGTATATAATCAAATAATCAAAGGACGCACCCCGAAGTTCTATAAGCTGATTTGTCTATATGTTTAACCAATACGTGATTTACTTTGATCAAATATTTGGGACTTACCCTCAGGATGAGACCCTGATGTGGCTGCTGTTTCATGCCAAGAGCTTTCAGTTCCATGAGTTACTGGCGTGGCATCAGTATTTCCAGGAGGAATTTCTTGCCACACTTTGGCATTAGGATTTAAACCAGTTCCTTTAGATGTTACCTGCTAAATAATCAAAGGATTTACTTATAAATTTTAAAAGTCAGTGCATTGAAAATACAAATTTAGGTAAAAGATTTTTTCCATTATTTAAATGTCAATAAAGCCACAATATTAAGTAATTTAATAATAAGTAAATATTAAATAAACAATATTTTTAAGTTTCTTGCTGAATCTGATAATACAAATCTTTTTAAATAGATGAACTAGAAATGTCTCTATAAAATTTAGCTACCTCTACAATGAAAAACATGATCTCTGTAAAATATAGTATTAATATGGAAAATACTGTTTTACCTTAATCTACGTGAAATGTCATAAAATTTATTCACGTCTTTGATATTAGTATGTGCTTGTGTACCTAGAGCAAATTTTTGAGTTATCTAGAGCGACTTTACAGAATTTATAATTTTTATTGCCATCTAAGCTGAGACAGAGACCTTTGAGTCTGATTCTATTATTGGAAAAAATTAGAAAATGTTTTCTAAGTCAAAAATAGCAATCTGCCTTACATTACAATGTGCTCTTCCATATTTGTCCTGAAAGTGTATATTTTTAATGTCCACGACATAACTATGTAACATTATTGCCATCTAAAGTGCTCTTTTGAATACATCATCTAATCACAGACACATGTAGAAATGGATCATAGTGTAAGAAGGCGAGGGAGAAGAGTATTCAAAAGATGGAGAGAAGAAGAAAGCAACTGAGCTTGATCCTTCCTCAAATATGTTAATGACACTTTCAGAAAATTTGTTCCCATTCCAGAAAGTTACTTCTAACTGTCTTCTCAGCTATAAGCCCCTCCCGTGAATGGCAGGCACCAGACAGAAGGTGGATTCAAGCTTATGACCTACATATACTTGGGATTCTGATTTCATGAAAAATAACTGGTACACACTGAGCCACTTATTGGGAGGTTGGTATAAATTCTGTCTACATGGAACAAGTTCTTAACAACTGACACTGGCTCATGGGGTTAAAAAAACAAAACAAAACAAAACAGAACAACCTTTAAGGTATTACCAACATCCAAATATGGCCAATCAAAGTAGGACTCTGGTTAGGCAGAATTTCACAGCCCCCACAGAGTTGCTGAGAAGACTCAGCTTCTGGGAGGCTTAACTGTACTTCCTGCAATTATGTCCCATGAAAATCCCTAGTAGCCTTTTAATCTAATAAATTGATCCTCTGTTTTACTTGAGTTTCTGTGGGCTTCCATACTGTGCAACTATTATGATTAATATGACTTACATGTATGAACCAACAGCACATTGTTTAATTACACTTTTGAACTTGCCATGTAGTTTTTGATTGCATATCAACTACACAATTTGGGAAAAAAGGAGAATGCTCAGACACATTGTCCTTATCCATGTCAAGGCTCATTTATACACACATGGTCTGGGCCTAAAATGGTGATAGTGGCAGTATTTTATCGCTGACACTGCTTAGAGTTGCCAGGTATACAAGCATATGCCTTTTAGTCAATTCGTTTTAAAATTATCTGCACACATTACACCCCCTTTCTGCTTTCACCACAGCAATACCTTCCCACCACTCTGCCTTACGGCTTAATTTCTGACTGACAGTAGAAAAAACAATGAGGAGTTTGTGACAGCCTAGCTTCCCTGCCATGTAAACAGCATTTAATTTGATTTAAGCACTTTAACAGAAGAAAATCTATGTACTTACTATTACTACCATCCTCCCTCCCCTTCCTTAATTCTGAGAATATCATTTATCATATTTTGTCATGCATAATATGCTCCCAGGTATAATGCACACCCACAATGCTGGCCTTAACTTTCAGGAAAAAACATCTTTCGTTTAAATTTTTAAATTCAATTATTTATTTATTTATATTTAGAAACAAAACCAATTATCATATTCCAGGGTATTATCTTGCATACGGATACTGTTATTGTTTTTTAGAGTTGTCAACACTTTTAACGTATAAGTATAAATAAAAGAATTGAAAACATTTACATAGATACAGAATTAGTACTACCTGTGTATAATGCTCATCCTTATTTATCCCTCAAAAATTTGGGCAAAAAAGTCCACATTATACATGGCAAAATATGGTATGTCTCTATGCCAGAAAATGACATATAATAAAGACAACAGCTCTCAGAGAAACTTACAGAATTGTTATTCAGAGTAGTGTGTGGCTTTAGTAAAGTAAAATAGGAACTGCTTTTTCAAGGTAGCTAATAATCATTATCTAAACATAATGAGCTCTGGCTGGCGTGGCTCAGTGGACTGAGTGCCGGCCTGTGAACCAGAGGGACACACACCTGGGTTGCGCGCCAGGTCCCTGGTTGGGGGCATGCAAGAAACAACGAATCAATGTAACTCTTACACTTCAATATTTCTCTCCCTCTCTTTTTCCCCTTCCTTCCTCTATAAAATTAGATAAAAATCTTAAAACAAACAAACATAATGGTTGAGTCCTGACTCGTGTAGCTCACTGGGTTCGGTGTCCTCCTGCCGACCAAAGGTCATGGGTTTGATTCTGGGTCAGGGTACATGCCTGGGTTGCCAGCCAGGTTCCCAGTTGGGGGCACGTGAGAGGCAACCTACTGATGTTTCTCTTGCATGTAGGCATTTCTCTCTCTCTTTCTCCCTCCCTGTTCCTCTCTCTAAAAGTAAATAAAATCTTAACAAATAAATTAACAAACATAACAGTTGAGGCTCTAGAATCACATCTGATTTCAAAATCTAGCTCTAACATTAAAACTGTGTAAGAACCAAGTTGAATTAATACTTGAAAAGAAATTAATGCTAAATATAAATACCCCATATTCTTTTCTATTAAACATGTTGGTTTTGAATAGAAGGTAATTCAGCTATACACTCAAAAGTACACTACACAAACACTAATGCATTATATCAAAATAACTGCAAGGTGAAGTTAAAAGTGAAACGTAAATTCCAATGTCATAGAAAATTAGCTTTGAAGAAACAGATGCAAATCACAGCAGACAGATGGATGACAAAATAAAACTGCAAGAGAACACTAAAAATAAGTACTAGGTAAATAAATTCTAAAACAACACACATGTATGCACACAAAAATGAAATACCATCTTATTAAATTAGCAAAGCACGTAAAAATAATTTTCATATTGGCATAGAATTTGCCAACTCATTCTTTACTGGAGATTGTATAAAACAGTGCAATTCATTCCCACATATTAACATTAATTATAACAGCCAGGAAACGGAACTAACCCAAAGTCAGACAAGGAAATAGGAAATTATGATACATTCACTGGTAAAGTAGTACACAGCCATTCAAAATTATAAAGACACATTGCCATACTTTATAAAATCTAAAGGGGTACTAATATCACAAAGAAAAAAATTGCCATTTACTAAACTATGACACACCAAATATTTTAGGATGTATCCGAATTTTTGGAGAAGTTACAGTGTACAACCAAAGTGCATCTTAGGGTTGATGAAGTATGAAAAACACCAAAATGGAAAGAAAATGCTTTTGCACAATGGAGTGAAAAAAAACTATAACCACAGTAACAAAAACAAATGTATTAACAATACTTTGGGCTAGGCACTGAACTAAATGCTTTATATGTATCATCTCACCATTTCTTAAAACAGTCCATATGCACTGCTATTTTTCTTTTACAGGTTATCCTATGAGAAACAACATATCCAAATAAAGACACACAGACATTAAGTATGAAGTCAGTATTAACCATACAATGATTACAACTCATAGATCAGAACAACTGCAAAAAGTACATAATATGTGGATATGGGCTAGAAGGGACCATGATATGCTACAATAACCAGATCAGGGATTTCTTTCCTTTATAAAGCATTTCATTAACAAAGCACTCCATTAAAATATTGCCTTAAGTTTTAATGATAAAAAAATATGCAACTTGCCCTGGCTGATGTAGCTCAGTGGATTGAGTATCGGCATGCGAACTGAAAGGTTGCTGGTTTGATCCCTGCTCAGGGCTCATGCCTGAGCTGTGGGTCAGGTCCCCAGCTAGAGGCCTACAAGAGGCAACTAGACGCTATTTCTCTCTCACATGGATGTTTCTCTCCCTCTCTTCCCTCTCTCTGAAAATAAATAAAATCTTAAAAAAAAGAAACAAAATAAAAAAGCTTATACATCTATTAGGGATTTTTCAGATCAGAGAACAAATGTGGCAATGTCTGATATATTAAAATCAAATATTATTTTGTGCCTATATATACTATTATTTTTGTTTTAGGATAATTATTATTTATGAAATTTACATAAGTGTTGACTCCCCCCCCGCCCCCGTAAACACTCAAATTGTGGTTTCTCTAAAAATATTTTTATTTTTACCCACTGCCTTTGATTTATACAGAATTCTTGCTAGGCCCATATTCCCTTTCAGCACATTAAAGATATCCCTATTACTCTCTGGTGTGCACTACTGCTGATTAGAAAGTCAGTCATTAGTCAAACTGATTCCTAAAATCTCTTTTATCTGTGGGTGCTTAATCTCTGTCAACGGTGGTTAGTGGCTTTGCAATCATAAATCTAAGTGTGAATTTTTTTTTATTCTACTTGGGATTCACTGAGTTCTTTGAAATCTAATGTATCTTTCATCAATTCCATAAAATTCTCAGCCATTATCTCTTCAAATACATCCTCTCTAGCCGACTGCTGCATTACTTCCTTCTGAAACTCCAATAAAATATTTTACACCTTCTCTTCCTATGTTCTACTTCTTTGTACCAATCTCCTTCTCATTTTTCATTTCTTAGCCTTTCTAAGAAATCAAATTCTGCATAGCAACGGTGATCCTGAGAAAGAACAACAAAGTTAGAGGAATCGTGCTACCTAATATGAAACTATACTCTGAGGCCATGGCTTCAAACAGCATGGTACTGCCATAAAAACAGACACATAGATCAACAGATCAGAATAGAGAGCCCAGGAATAAACCGACACTTTTATAGTCAATTAGTATTTGACAGAAGACGCAAGCACATAC